GAATGTTTAAATTTTAATATTACTTTAACATATGTATTTTCCCAGTAAGTTTTCTTATTTTTAATGCCAATCCAAATAATTGTAGTTTTTCTAATAAATTGGCTGTATGTAACTGAATTTCCCCTCCATTCAACTCATACTCAGTGATGTCATCGGCTTAAGCCCAGATCTCCTAGATCACCTGGCTGCTTCCACAGCTACTATAATGATCCTCAGGGAAAAGGGAATGGATTACCAAAGAGAATGCTTTGGTTTTAAATAACATTTTATTCCGGAAAAAATGCAAAAAAAAAAAAAAAAAAAAAAACTGCAAGGAAAATGAAGAAAACACACAAACATTTCCATTTTTAAAGTTTTTTTCTTAGGGACATTGAGGAGCTAGAGTCAAAAAGATATTGTCTCATTCCTTTCTAACAGCTTTGTAAAAATACATTTACATACTCTTAACCCTGTCCTTGTTCTCACTGAAATGTTTTAAAAGGCACACACACACACACACACACACTATTCAAAAGTAAACATCTTTTCCAAGAAGCATGTTGTATCAGATTGAATGTACGTGTTCCTTTTGTCAACCATTTGTATGTACTACATTTGTACTACAACCCAGTATCTGAATGATGGAGGCAAGAAAGAGCATTTAGGTTCAAGAGCTGGCACAATCCCCAAATGGCTAGACCAAGGTAGGAAAATGGAGTTTTCTATATCCAGATATTTCATTTTAGAACCAGAATGATAAGGAGGAAGAAATTATTCACATTTAGAAGAAATACTCTTTTATAGCTTCAAATATATTTTCTTCTCTAGAGAACATTGCCACTTGGTAAAAGTGGGAGGACAGCTAAGCAAAGGAGAATTTCAAGGTAGAAAGATAGGGACCTCTTTCCAAACTTGAAGTCTTTTTAAATACACTTTTTATTTTAGAAGAATTTTATATTTATTTTAAAAATCACAACGATAATACATAGAGTTGCCTATACCCCATGCCCAATTTTCCCTATTATTGGCATATTACATTAGTATGTTATATTGGTCACAATTAGTGACTCAATACTAACACTTTATTACTAACTAACATACAGACTTCATTCAGATTTCCTTAGTTTTTGTTGACTGTCCCTTTTCCATTTCAGGATACCGTATCTCCTTAGGCTCCTCTTGACTGTGACAGTTTCTTAGGCTTTGCTTATTTATGCTGACTTCACAGTTTTAAGGAGTATTGATCAGGTGTTGTGTCAATTGTCCCTCAATTGGGATAAATCTGGTGGTTTTTATGATTAGATTAGCATTAAGAGCTTTTGAGGGGAAGATGACACTTTTATCACATCATACCAAGAGTACATACTATCAACATGACTTATCACTGTTGATGTGGACCATGATCATCTTGCTGAGTTAGTACTGTCAGATTTCTCCAATGTGAAGTTATTTCCTCCAACCCCCTTGCACACTGTGCTCTTTGGAAGGGAGTCACTACGTGTGGTCTACACTTAAGGAGTGAGGAGTTATGTTCCACCTCCCTGAGGATGGAATATGTACATAACTTAACTGGAATTCTTCTGCATGGTAGAATTGTCTACACTTTCTCAAGTTTATTCAATCATTTATTTATGTCAGCTTGGACTCATGGCTATTTATTTTATACTTTGGATTATCATCCAAAAGTACCTTATATATATTGTTGCTCAGCTTTGGCCATTTGCTCTTTCAGATGGCTCCCTGTCCCTTTGCCATACCCCCACCATGTGGGTGGTTGTGCTGCTGCTGGACTGCTTCCTTACTTTATGATGTTATGTGTTCCATGTTCATCTTGTATATTTCCTGCACTAGTTCTAGCCATTCTCCAAGAAGCCCTGGTTCCTTTTATTGGAGAATATTAGAAACCAAGATCTGGGCTAGATATGTTCACTTCTGGACCCTCGCAGCTAACAAGCAAAGATATATATGCGGGTATATTAACCCATGGAAACACACCTGTCTGTAATTATTTCTATATGCAACCATCCCTATCTAAATTAAGCAAAACATGAATTCACTGTGATACCTCCAATTATAATCCACTACTGTATGAACCATTCTAGCCTCTTCCCCTCACTTACCTGTAACCTCCCACTTCAAAAGTGAGAAACCTGGCTTCTACCATCTGCCATCCAATTACTTAGTTGCTCAACTTCAGAACACATGTAAGTGTGGTACCAGAATTATAAACCTGTACCCCCTTAGGAAACAATTTTATCAACTAAACTGCAGTATTTATGTACAGTTCCTTTTGCCTTTAGTTTTACAGACTCTACTCATTCCCAAAGTTACTTAGGACTTTCCTCCTACCCCCTTTGATGAGGGTGTTCCATATATTTATAATATAGTTAGCCTGTTGTGTCACATTTTTCATTCTATCCTGAGATCATGCAACCTTCTAAATGATTATTTATTTATTATCAAACAAAGTGATTTAAGTTTTATTCTCAGCCAGGGTAGGTGAGGGTGGGAAGGGGAGAAGTCACAGATGGAACTTGAAAGCTAAGTTACCAATTTAGAGATTTTTTAAAAGTTTCTGTCTAATCTCTTGTTTAAAAATAGAAATTTACTGAAAGCTAATATGATAAATTCATCTTTCAAATGTACTTAAAAACTTTGCATACAATAAGTAACATAGCCAAGATCAAAAGTCTCTCCTTTTCATACTTGAGATACAGATTTTTCTAGGAGCTTCCAGTTGCTTTATTCAATTTTCTTACCTGTAAAATGGAAATAAAAAGGTTCTCACCAGGACTGATAAATTTATAATAGTTATACTGGTAATATTCCGCCATTCAAGCGTAAATATGTAGCAACTGTTTTGGTTTTAATAAATGTAGACTCTATGCTCTGGTAGAATAAGCTCTACCTAATTATGTTTTTCACATAATTGTAAAATTTTCTATTTTCACACAATTATATTCATAAAGTATTGTGATCTTGATAATTACTATTCACTCATATCACTAAGGAATTATTTCTGTCTAGTAACCTGGGATCCTTAGTCATTTTAAAATCTTTAACGTATCCAAATAATTGCCAGTACATACTTACGTTTGTTCTTAAACACATGGGAGACTTTAGAGAGATTCAGGGACCATTGTGGATGGTCTTGTCTATAATAAAATCTCCCCCCACCAAAATAAGAAAAAAGAGAGAGAAAAAACATATTTTTAAAAAATAACAGAATTCCTTTTTTAAATTCCTTTTAAAAGTAACATTTTCCTAGAATTCCTTTTTAAAAATAACATTTCTTATCCTTGTAAGAGTGCATAAATGATATTAACATACTAACATATAATGACAAACTTCCAAGGATACAGTTTAAACTGCTGCTGTGATCATGCATTTTACTGAATTATCAGAAAAGGAGATATCAAGAGTAAATTCACCCTTTGGAGGAGCAAAATGTGCCCAACGACCTCTTTAGTTTCTTTATAGACATGAACATTTATCCATAACTCATTATTGTTCAACACTTTTGCATATAATTCAATTCATAAGTCTAATCTCTTTATTTATAGTGAGCACTTAGGAGAAAGTCATGTTTGAGGCTACTAATATTTCTTTCAAATAATGTCAATAGTTTCTTTTTCCCCATTATTCTAGTTCAAAAATGAAATATCTGGAGTGTAAAAACTATAATTTCCCAGTTAAATATTCACCACCATATTGTTAAATTTTATTGAAATTCGTATCTTTAATAATTTCAAAAAATGTGAAGATACAATAAGAACACCTGTTTCTTTCCCTCATGATCTCCAAAGAACATCTAATAAGTTATTCTATAAATAAATCATTATGCTTTTTACTGATGTAAGTACCAACCCTGCAATTTCCCAAGGGCTGCCTCACATTCTTGCAGAAGTAAGACAGGAAGTGAACTCATTCTGAGCAGGGTGGGAGACCAGAGCAGGAGGTAAGATTAGAGGCAAGGAATGGGATAATTAGAGCTCAAAGTCAAAGTAATGCTTTGAAAAAAAAAACTAAAAGGTTTTATTGGGGGGAGGTGTTGAGGAAGTGATGTAAGCAACTGCCAAAGACCACTGCTTCAATAAAGGGAATCCAATGCTACAAAAAAAGGCTCTCATATCCAGCCAGCAGAGACCAACATTCCTCCCTCCAAGCTCTGCAATAATTACCATATTGATTCACAGTATGTTAGCAGAAAGAAATAGGTAAAATAATGAGGAATCAATAAGGTTTGATTTTAAAATTCTCAATTTTAAAAATCTGAACAACCGTTAGAGGAAAGGTAGTAAGAAAAGGACAGATGGCTGCCTATAGTACCCCCTAGAAAATGATGCCTCATCAATTCCTTCTTCTTGAACTAAAAACCGGGGGTCTTCTTGGTACCAAATACCAAGAATCACATCCACAGAAGCTAGTATGCAGCCTCGGCAGGACTATTACACCCCTCACAACAGATCTTTCAATGCTTTGGGGGTTCACCCTATACAACGACTGACAAAGTCCAGGGAGGCATAGCTGCCAAGAGACAGGTACAGTAAGAAAGTCACAAAGCAGAGCTGGCTTTATTTGAAAGCACTTTGCCAGGCTTCTCACCAACCCAACTTTGCGCACTCTACTCTCTCAGGGGAACTATGAAGGAACTCTGAGAAAATATTCACTCAGAGACACATCACTCGCATCTACAACACTAGAAGTCGCTAGCAGAGATCTCAGTACAGAGGTAGCCTCAGGATTTCATCATTAAGCGTGACTTTCAATCTCCTAACTCAGAAATAAAGGGGCTTAATGAAGTAATCTTTTCATCCTGACTTAAGGGAAGTAATCCTATTAAGGTTTCAGCAGGCCTGGGAATTTCCCTGCTTCACCATGGACCTAAGGATTTGAGGCTATTTAGGTAGTGTCACAGAATAAACAGGAGCATCTCTGCAAAGTTGGTCCCTTGTCGGAGAACATCCTTGCAGTGTGCAAGATTAATAGGCATGGGACTGTGGAGCACTCAGATAACCTACCTGCCACACTGGTCTGAAGTCCATGTAACTGATTGCCCCTCGGGTTTGGTTTTGTACCATATCCTGATAGCATGAGGAAAGTCAGTAGCTGTCTGAGCCCCTGTCTTCCTGATCTGTAAGCTCCAAGTGTCAGTGTCAAAGAAGAGTTCCCCACAGCCAGGAGCCCGGCTGCAGCGAGCATAGTAGTCTAACTGCTCCCTCCAACGATCTGCAGGCAGAGTCACAAGTTCATGTACAATCTGATTCCTGAGCTCCTCAGAAGCAACTGTGAGCTTGGGAGACCTTGTAAATTGTTCAATACCTGGCACAGCAGCAACATCCACCTCCTCAACTTTTAACACAGATAAATCACAGCAGTCCAACACTAGCAAAAAATCCTCACTCCCATGATTCCCTGTGTCACAGCAGTACTTTGAGCTAGAAATCCCAGAAGCCTGTTCCAGGTTGTCATGGTTACCATCTTTATCAGAAGTATCTTTTTCACCTTTACTAGAAATTGCAAAATCATTATATTCCATTTTAGATGAGAAGGTCCTTGCATTTGTCACAGGAATATGGCAGGATTCAGGCATCCTAAATTTGCAGGATTCATTTGACTCCAATTGGCAGGCTTCCTGGGTGGAGCTATTTCCTTTCTTGAATTGGTTTCCATCCTCAAAGAAAAGCACTATGGTCCCCTCAATGACTTGACTTTCAAAATCCACATGTAAATCCAGTACATAGTGCTTCACAAGTATGTGGCTGGTGTTGGCCATGAGAGGCAGGTCATCTCTGGAAGGGTCCAGCTTAATGTCCATGGTATAGTTTATTGTTTGAGAGCTTTGCTAAAATCTCAAATGGGGCTTCCTATCTGCCTTAATCTTCCAGAATCATAAATGGCTGCTTTCCAAAAAAACAACTGATGTCAAAAATTATGTTTCCATAACTTTCAGTAACCTGGCAAAAAAGAAAAGCACAATTAGACAAAATTCTAAATAAGACCTAAATACTCCTGCAACTGCTACTCCTGCAAGTTGACTACCATCCTTAAATAACCCCCCAATGGGTTAGATGCTCATGGCTAGAAGGCAGACTAATCTTTTTGACTGACGTGAAAGAAAGCTGCATTATGAGTTTCTAAAAATATTTCAATTACCAATGGAATGAAATGGGCCTCCACAAAGCCAGAAGAATCATGCTCCTAACTAGAACAGTCCTCATTTGGAAAAGAGAAATTGTTATGCAAAAGTGTAACTGAGCATCACTGTGCCTCCTTTTAAAAGATATTAAATGTATTGTTTCTAATTTTGTGCATCAAAAGATAAGTGATTTGTTTCTCTACTGTGATTCTAAGTAACAAGTGTGAATGAAGGCTAAATGGCCTCATACATTTTATTCTTTGAGAGTAATAATTTAATACATACAATGTAACTCCAGGGATTAATGTACTTTTCACATTAGGACTGCTCTTATATCAGCACTTCCAGTAAATTACGGGAAAATGAGCCAATTTACCAGGAGTGCATTCTAAGTTATTCCTTTGAGATTGTTCACGGAGATTTTTCAAATTTATAGTTAAATACTCAAGGTATATCATTACATCTTAATAGTTGAAAACCCATTAACATTCTGGATAATAGCCTTCTTGTGGCAAACAAAAGGTCTTCTCATTTGGAAAAAAAAAGCATGCAAATACCTATAAAAGGAAGCAGAGAAATTAAAATGTAGAAACAGATGTTATAATAAAATGCACAAGTTCTTCATAAAAGTTCTGAATCAAAATGTATTCTTATTATATAATAGCAATCTGGCTAAAAGGAAAATTATTTCAAATTATTTCAGTCCCTGTTGTGTACCTAATTTCTTTCAGCATATGCTGTTCTTTTTTTATTCTTTTAGCAAAACTGAAAAAGAAATGGCAGGGAAAAAGAAATAAAAACTCTGACAGAGTAGATATATGTAAAATAATTTTTGTATTTCTAAATATTAGGAGGCATTCTTTTATCAACTACAAAACAGCATTACTTGATTTTTCAAATAAATTAAGCCCTCTTTTTCTATTCTGTTTAACTTCTCCTCACTTCCCTTCCAACTTTATCTGCCTCTCTACTAGACCCCTTATTATGCCCTTTCCTTCTAGAATCTCTTTCCAACAATCAGCCCTATTAACTCTTCAGTTTCTACCTCTCCACAGGCTATTTCCTAATCACAATCTCACCTTACCTTAAAACATCTGGCCTCCTAGAGCCTTGTACAACCTGGTTTTGAGATATTTTCTCAATCACGGAGATACTTCCCTTGCATCCTAGTCCTCTAGCCAAAGGACCTGCTCAAGAAACTGCTCCCTAAAGATGACCTGACTCCAGGTCTCCCTGCCTTTTGGACTCAGCCATGTGCCATACACAGAGTGCTCCTGGCTCCCACCTCCCATATCCACCTGCCAAATCCTGTTTTTCCTCCACGCCCCAGTTCAAGTGCACCTACCTCCGGAAATCCTTCCCTGTTCTTTGCTCCCTCCTCCACCACACTGTATGTGGTATACTTAAAGTGCAACAAATGTACAGAGAAATCAAGGATGCAAAGAATAGTTTGCAATTACTTTATGGAAAAGCTGGTACTTCCCTTGGTCCTAGAAAAGTCAATAGGCACAGGGGATAAGCCATGGTATTTTCTTTCCTGACCTGTCAGGAAATGAATAATAACCTTCAATAAATTTGGGCTGCTAACATGCAGTATTTTGATTGCACATTTGTTAGAAACCTGTTTAATAAAAAAAAATCCTGAAACACACACACACACACAGAGAGAGAGAGAGAGAGAGAGAGAGAGAGAGAGAGAGAGAGCGCGTTTGAGCGCACGAACGAGCCTGAATCGACTAAGACAAGGATCCATTCAGTGGCTGTCTAAACTATCATACTTGAAGAAAAACAGTTCAGCATTTATAACAATATAGATATAACCATTTATTGTCTAACCCTAATAGATTCACTTACTTCTGAAAATGTATATAACTTAAGAATAAAATAGGCCGGACATGGTGGCTCACGCCTGTTATCCTAGCACTCTGGGAGGCCAAGGCCAGCAGATCGTTTTTGAGCTCAGTAGTTCAGAGACCAGCCTGAGCAAGAGCAAGACCCCGTCTCTACCAAAAAAAAAAAAAAAACCCAAAAGAAATTACCTGGACAACTAAAAATATACAAAAAAAATTAGCCGGGCATGGTAGTGCATGCCTGTAGTCCCAGCTTCTTGGGAGGCTGAGGCAGAAGGATCGCTTGAGCCCAGGAATTGCTGTGAGCTAGGCTGATGCCACGGCACTCTAGCCCAGGCAACAAAGTGAGACTCTGTTTAAAAAAAGAAATGAAAAGAAAAAACGGCTGGGCACGGTGGCTCACGCCTGTAATCCCAGCACTCTGGGAGGCCGAGGTGGTTGGATAATTTGAGCTCAGGAATTCAAGACCAACCCCAGCAAAAGCGAGACACCATCTCTACTAAAAATAGAAAGAAATTAGCCAAACAACTAAAAATATATAGAAAAAATTAGCCGGGCACGGTGGCACATGCCTATAGTCCCAGCTACTCGGGAGGCTGAGGCAGGAGGATCGCTAGAGCCCAGAAGTCTGAGGTTGCTGTGGGCTAGGTTGACGCCATGGCACTCTAACCCGGGTAACAGAGTGAGGCTCTGTCTCAAAAAAAAGAATAAAATATGTTCTACAGAGCAATTTTCACTACTTTTGTCCCTGGGAGCAGAGAATGAGGCTGCCTTAGACCAGCCTTAAAACCATGGTCACCAAAAGCAATGGTTAGTTTTCCCATGGCTAGTCACTGCTGCCTCTAAAACAAATGTGCTATGTGGTGTGTATTTTAAATGCTTAAATGTTTGTCACCCTGACTAGCAATCCTTTGGTTCTTTTTAGTGGATTCTTTGGTATTCTCTCCATAGAGGCAATTCTTAAACTTTTTTTCTTTTAACCTTCCAATTACGTGCCTGCCAACTCCTTTGCAGCTCATTATCTGGCCCCCTACTTTACTGAGATAATTTTGGATCTATGAAACTCAATCATACCCCAAAGTATCTCTAGTTCTTCATAACTTTTGCCTTCACCTGATTCAGAGAGAACAATATTACTTCTTCTTTTTTTTTTTTTTTTTTTTTTGAGACAGAGTCTGGGCTAGAGTGCCTGGGCTACAGGGCCTGGGCTAGAGTGCCATGGCATCAGCCTAGCTCACAGCAACCTCAAACTTCTGGGCTCAGGCGATCCTCCTGCCTCAGCCTCCCAAGAAGCTGGGACTACAGGCATGCGCCACCATGCTCGGCTAATTTTTCTCTATACATTTTTAGTTGTTTGGCTAATTTCTTTCTATTTTTAGTAGAGATGGGTCTCACTCTCGCACAGGCTGGTCTCGAACTCCTGAGCTCAAACAATCCGCCCACCTCGGCCTCCCAGAGCAATATTACTTCTTATGAAAGCTTATTTTGTTCCCCTGAATCCAACATTTGGGATCTTGAGAGAGCCAAATAAATAGTACACTTGTTTCCTACACAAATTCTGAATTTACTGAAAAATAAGATGAAGATATGGCAAAGGCAGACCAAAGTATCACCCTTATCACCGATGAAGGCTAAACTGGACAATGGCTTACTGTGAGAGCCAAAGTTACCTGGAAACTGAATCCCAAATTTAGATTTACCCACAGGTAATTTACCTGATTCTAGATCAGGTCAAAGCTTCCAGAAGAGGAGGTGGCCTCCTTCAGGTAACAGTTATGTCCTGGAAGAATAGAGGTGAAAAGCTCTCTGTGGTCAGGATTGCTCCCCAAAAGCAAAAGGGAGAAGAAGAACAGAGCATATCTAGTCTCTTCTGTCCAAATTTATCAGACTAAGTCACCCTTCCTCCCTTAGAATAATTAAAGGCACCGAGACCAGGAGTGTTACACTAATTGAGTTCCCCCACAAAGAAGTAAACATCAGAAATGAGAAAGAAGCATTCCCCTCAACACTATACCCTTCCACTTAGTTGAACCTTATTTCACTTGACATTTTTCTCATGCCAACATTTTCTGCCTCTCAATGATTCCATCTACTCTTAATATTTCAAACACCCCTATGGTTGCCGTGTTTAAAAACAAACAAAAACTACATTTGGCCCTGTTGCCTATTTTAACTAGTCTTTATTTTATTGAACTTTGGAGCTGAAAAATTCCTTCAGGCTCACTCAAACCAATCCTCTAACTTTACAAATGAAAACAGTGAGGCCCAGAGTGGTAAAGCAATTTGCCCAAGGTCATCATTTCTCTGTTTGTTTGTAAGGAACAGAGTGTGTTCCACTTGCTGGTGTTTTTCCTTGGAATTCTCATCCTCCAGGTCTGGTGGCCATCTCCTTTGTATTATCTAAGTCATAAATCAAATGTTACCTTTAAGACTCTCTTACATATTTCCTTCTTTATTGTCCTCAAGTTGTACAGACTGGTAATTAATTCTTATTTTAATAGGTTTGTGGGGAAAGGGAGAATTTTGAAGCCAGCTCCAGAAGATTCAGAAGAGCACTGTCACCTTTGCATGGTTTCCGACCTAAGTTACGTGTAATATGTAGGTCTATTATAACTCATTGCTTATTTGCCTATTTTCTACTTGTCTTGGATTCATGGATGACCTAAATCTCTTTTCTCTACAAGTACAGGACACTGACGTCAATCAGGGTCACAGTCCCACATTTGAGGAAAAACTGAACTGACTGTGGTTACAAACACATGTATGTGGCCACCTTGCAAGGCCTCTCTCAGCAAATGGAAACCATATTTCTAAGCAGTCCGTTGACTTCAGCACTTTTGGTTATTATTGTGCTCCAATTTAAAATGCCAGCCTGTCTCACTGAAGCATTTTTCCATTTTCTGTCATAAGCCATAACACATAAAAGTGCCCCCTTTATCAAAACCAATGGTTAGTTTCCCAGTGGCTA